GCTTAATTTCATAGAGCCATTTTCAGATGCAGGAATCTGAGTCCCTTTAGCGCCACTTCATCCCTTTTGCTCAGTTATTTATGAATGAATGTGGGCGGAGACCAGTGCTGCGTGTGTGAGTGGAGTTAAAGCAGCAGCATGTGGCCAACTGAGAAAGCGGAAACAAGCACGTGCCTGCAGCTGGAGGGGTTTTTAACATATTCACATAGTTGTTCAAATAGTGCCAATTTACTAGAATTTTAATCAGTGGTTTGTTTCCTCTGATGACAAAATGTTGTGGATTGGAAAAGAAAATTTTGACACATACTTGTTTTTTAAGTTCAAAGAATATTGAAGAACATTTTGTAAGTAACAAAATAATTCATATTTATTTTTGCCGAAACCATGGGTGTATCAAAGCAGTTTGGAACTACAGCTCCAATACTTATCAGTAAAGCAAGTATTGCCGCTACAGACAAGTCAAGGATTTGTGGACTGGGACAAGAGTGGTCTGAGTGGTTTGCATGGGGACATAGACACATTTAGAGAGAGATAGTTTTATTGCTTAGTGCAGTCCATATTCTCTGTCCCATGTAAACATACTGACCCCTTAAAAGCCAGTTAGGGACAAGATATAAATGATGCATATTCTCATTAATTCCATTGATCTAACACTATCTGCCAGCTTTTGTGTGTGAGGGGGTGGCATTCTCCTCTTAACCCCAAACACATGTCTCTCCAGCTCTTATTATTTTAACTGCTTCCAGTGACTTCAGATCTCAACCTCTTTGTGCAATCAGGGAAAGGCTGCACTAAAACCTGCCACAAGCGGCTTAGATTACCCCCAATACAACCACTCAATAAATACTGACATAGACACAATGGACAAGCAAATTTGACATTGACTATTCAGGATCCCTAACCGTTTTCAGCATGGATGGTGACTTTTGATCACTCCCGGACAAATGAGGGATTACACCGCTGTAAATAAAGCATTTTGTAATTGGATTGTAAATGAGTATTGTCATATATTGATTTTTTCAAAACATAAGGAATATTGTGACTGTGCTGGTCATGAAACCAATTATTGTATTAATATTATGAAAATGCTAAATATCTTCTTGATTAAAAAGGAAAGTTTGCAGACTTCAAAGCAGATGGAATTACACAGTAATAAGTTATATTTGCATATGTTGTGCATGTCGTCGTAAATAAACGCCCTATTTAAATTAACACAACAACATTCAAATGTGTATAAATTACAGAGCCTGTCAGAAGTAAATATGTGTAGCATGCTTTACTTTTCTCATTCTGTATTGGTGTTTTGTGGCCCTGCTGTAGATGCCATGGTTAATTTCTCAGGATCTGGAAATGGTGTTTGGAGAAAAGCTGTTTGACGAGTGGCCTCTCAGGGATCTGGTTTATTCTGACTAACAGGTAATGCCTTCAGCAGCTGTACGCACATAAGCGCAGGAGGAGAAGAATGACTTTCATATACGTGTATATATAGATGTAAAATTGTAGTAGGAAGTTATTTGTCTAGTAGTATTTATTTTTTTAAACTCAATGTCATTAAATAGAAGGTAGAGACAGGACACATTTCTGACAAATGGTCATATTTGTTGTTGATTTTTAACTTATGAGCAGAGGCACACTGGAATTCTAACAAATAAGAAGTATATTCGTCCAGAGAGAAGGACACAAAATGAAAACTATCACAATTTCTACTACATTGTGTAAGATACAAGTCTATATCTGTGAAGGCACGTACTTATCAGAAGATTTGCATTTCGAATAGTCAACTCAATACATCTAAACTGTTGTCAACTGTGAAAACAATGACGTAATATCTATGGTGCTATTCTGGTGTGCAGGTTTAGGGCTGAACGTGAAAGCTTCTTCAGATACTTCTGACAGACGTGAACAGAGGCAGTAATAGTGACCCATGGATTTTTTAAACACACAAACATGCATGCACGCACACACATACACTACTTTCAAAAAGAAAAATATTGTGAATTTCAAATACATAATAAAAGTATTGTTGGTCCCAATACAGTACGTCATCCTTATCAAAGTGTTTCTAAGAAAAAAATACTTCACTAAATATAAATATAAATACAAATGCAAACTCATTTACCATGCATGGAAGCATTGTTCTCCTTACTGTTTCAAAGTATAGAAGTTACGGTGACCTTTTTTAAGGTGGCCATGGTGAGAAGGGACTGAATTTATTCTTTACACTCAAAGTTATTTGGTGAATATATATATTATATATTATATATATTGACACTTTGACACTTTTTGAATTATTGACACTTTGATAGCTGTTAATTATGTATTATGGATATGTATGTAAATATCTATATACGTGTATATAGATATTTAAAATGATGAATGTATGAATCCAACCCTGTCTGCTGGAATAAATGAAAATTAAAAAAATTGAAAATGCGTAAATATTCTCGTCTGGGGCTCTGGAGAAGATCTATGGTGGCATTTCAGACCTATAGGGCCAAGATGAGTCAAACTTCTGTCCAATTCATGCACAGGTCCTGATACAAGACGCTTGAAGGTGATAAATAGAATTGTGAAATCCTTCCCAAAATTCCATCTCGCTAACTTGACATTTAATCTGTAATTTAGTAGCATTCTATATCAATTACCTAGAGTCATAATTTTGAGCATGACCAGAGCATGTCTTTCTTCAGTCGGAAGTAGCCGCTGCTTTGTGCCCCACACAATGAGATGAATATACTGCCTCACTCCTGCTGCAGATTTTTCTCATAAAAAATCCCTTTGATAGTTTAGCCATCTGGACGCAGCCCAAAAAGCCCCCATAAAAGAGCCCCAAATAAGGGCAAAGGGCACCTCCTCCCAGGGTCATGCAGCCACTGGACTTTACTAATGCTGTCGGCTCACATCTCCCCAACAAATTAAAGCACATTCTTCTGCTTTTAACAAGTATTCCATTACAGTGAGGGCAGGAAGTGGAAGACTCACATAAGGGGTCACTAATGGACGCTATTGGAAGTTATAGAATACAGTAGGCTGACCGGCAGGGCAGGAATAGGTTTTTTCTAAAGAATGATGCACAGATATATATTTGTCATCTAATGAGTTGAATTTTACAATAGAAAAATAGTGACAATTGATTGAATGCAATGGAACATTGCAGCTTCATTAAAATAACACCATACCTACTGTGAAGCATGGGGGTGGAAACATCATGCTTTGGGACTGTTTTTCTGCAAAACGACCAGGAAGATTGATCCATGTAAAAGAAAGAATGAATGGAGCCATGTATTGTGAGATTTTTAGTGAAAACCTCCTTCCATCAGCAAGGGCATTGAAGATGAAACAGACATGATTCAAACACAGAATCATGTCATACAGATTGAGTAGCTTTGTAAGAAGCATTTCAAGTGCCGAATGGCCTCAACAGTCTCCAGATCTCAACCCCGTAGAATATCTTTGAAGGGAGTTGAAAGTCAATGAGAAAATATTATCTCAGATGTCTTCTGGATCCCTGCTCCAGAAGAAAAAAAACCCAAAATACCAGCAACAGTGTGTGAAAGGTTTCACTCCAGCCAGTAGTATAGGAAAACTGTGTTTTCAAGTAGATCATGTGTGTTTTACACAGATATTTAGGGTGGAGCCACAGCTGTGTCTGGACAGACGTGGTTGAAGTAATGTCCGAATAAAAGTAAATTAACCAATACATGTGAATGGAGCAATGTTCTTTCTTCTCCTTTTTTCTCAGACTAGAAGGCACAAGTATTGCATGTTTCCTTTGGGTTCTCTTCCTTTGAGAATGTTGGTGCAATCCACCCATAGGCTGTGCAAAGTTTCAGAATATAGGCAGGAATTAAATAAGCTCATATGTTCATTATATAATACGTTAGATGCTTAGGTTTACAATCACTCGAGGGACAAAAAAATGGGATCTACTCCAACAATGGCAGAAATTACCTGAGCTTTTATCAATATTCAATTGCAACATTCCATAGGGCTGAGCTGTTTTTAACTCAACACTCGGTACATTAGAGGAGCATTGACAACATGTGATTAACCCTGACCTGACCTGCCTGTCTGAGGACTGCTGTCTGCGCATTGATCCGGCTGCCAACACCCAACACTGGGGAGAGAGAGGGGGAGGAGGATAGAAGGATGGAGAGAGAGGGACAGGTCATAGAGAAAGGAAGTATGTTTACATGAGCAGAGAATTCAGACTGCACAAAACTTCCAATTCTCGCAATCTTTGCCCCCAAGCCGCTCAGTTCAATGTTCTCCCAGTTTACAGCAGGTCCAAGATCAAAGAAGCATCTGTGTGGAGATGACATGCCACCTGAATGAATCCACAAGCAGGAGGTCAGAGCAGAAGTGTAGTTTCTGGCTACATTTTTAGCAGTTGGGGTCAACATTGGTCAACACGGCAACATTTCTAACGGATTTCAATGGTTTTATGTTATCTCCCAAAGTTCTTATGCATGGCTTTCAATCCCAGACAAAAACAATTCTTATTGTTGTAATTATTAACCCATGAATTCCAGTGTTTCAGTTTATATGGCTCAAAAAAGCAGCTAAAGAGACAGCTAAAATCTCTCACAGCTACACATACGTGTGATTTGTGCAGATTCACTGTTGTGATCAGAAATGTGCTCATTTTTTGTGCAGATTCAAAACTGTGTTGTACTTTTTGTAGAAGTTGTTTGCTGTCATTTTTGCTGTCTTAACAAAAACCAATAAAATACAATCAAAATGGCAGCACTCACAGCAGAACTTGGAAAAAGGTGAAGAGATGTATTTTCGACAATCTTAACGATAGCTCCTCCTTTTGGGGCCCCATTCACACCTGTGTAGGTTCCATATTGATCACCGGAGCCTCTCCAAACTGCTGTGGTGTTTAATGGGGCACATCGCAGCCTTCTCCTTGGCTCTGGCTCTGAAACGGGACACTGGCTCCATGCATTATCCCAAACGCTGCCCTTTTGGGGGGACTGGAGCATGCAGCAGCATCTTCAGCCTGAGACAAAGAGGAAAAGACAGATTCTCAGGAGCAGCAGGTGTGTGGATGGCTTTTTGAATGTATGTGGGCTGGAACCAAACACATTCTTTCATAAGTTAGGCCCACAACAGGAAGATTGATGGAGATATGTCTTTTTCAAGGCAATATTGGTGGTCAATAAACGGAAGCTTATTGTTTGTAGACATCATGCAATAATTAAATTCAGTTCCTTTCAGTTCATTTTTGTATAGACCTAAAGTTCCAACACAGGAACTGCAATAATAACAAACACATGGTCCATAGGGAGTGGGTGACCAAGGTCCATACATGTTAGTAAATGTCCTTAATGTAATTTATACTCAACTAAAACAGTAAAACAATACAGTACGACTAATAATTCATGCACACCCAATAAAAGAAAAAAAAACCCACCACTATTACTAAGGCAACATTTTAAATTGTTTTGTTCTTATGCTCTGGCTTTTCGCAGGCACTGGTGTTGTAGTTTTTAGACACATTCTCTACTAAACAGATTAATAATATCAACAGTATTGTCCACTTTAACATAACTTTGTTGTATCTTTTTGTCTGATGAGCTGTGAATGATGCCTACACCTAAAGTGGTTTTTGGTAACAAAAAATATAGCAAAACAAAGCTGCGTCATAACATATGACGCAGCTTATAGACAAAAACTCTATATTTATATTGTTTATAATTCAATGAATCAAGAGGTTTATTTCAAAAACATAATTTTACAGAACAAAACACAGGCAGAAAACATTAAAGACATACACATCCATGATCATAATGCGCAGGATATTATTGTCGTTTTCTTCCTAAAACAAAACAATATCTTGCATTACACAAGATAATCCAATCTTTGTACACTCCAAAAAGTGAAAATAGACTAGTGTAGTTCACTTGATTTCAGTGCATGTATCTAATCACATAGTTTTTGTTGTTGACTTTTTTCTCATGCAGGAAGTAGAAGTAAGTGGAAAAGTCATGATCCACAGGCAGATAATTTAGCTTGAAACAAGTACATTTGTTTCAAATAGCAGCTATTTTTCTTGTTTTTTTTTAGCCTTTTTGCAGTTTATTAATGAGTTGTCTCTACTAGATAAACATTGTAATGGTTTGCAGATCCCTAACTGCAAGGCAAAATCCAGTTTCACAATATTCGGCGTCTTTACTGTAATATCAAACAAAAGCAGGACCAAAGAATCATGACTGCTACATTCCAAACTTCCCAAGTCTTGAACCCAAACAATCAATCTGCATTAACTCTCTAAACACTGCCACATATTTGTCACCATCACATTAAAATCTGTCTTTGTTGCACTGATTGCTTGATGATGAAAGCTCTAATTCTCTGCCCCCCTTAAAAATAGTTGGTCTTCCAAATTCCACACAGACAAGAATGCATGTCCGTCTCCTGTTTCCTTATAATCAGCTTGACTATGAAGGGCGAAAACAAACAAACACTTTTTTTCTCCCACACAGCGTCGGCCTGGGGGCTAGTGCAAGGAGGGGTCCATGAATGCACCACACACTGTTATTAATCTTTGTTAATTGTAGCCCGCGCCTGCATTCAAAGGAACACAGCTGTATTTTTCATCATTAGACCAGTGTTTATAGTAGCAGGAAATTGACCCAAGAGATAATCAAATTTGGGCAGAGCTACAATTGGGCAGGAAGTAGTTTGAAGAGGCCAAAAAGTGGTGGCTATAATTTGTGCTTGAATATTGAGACATGTTTCACACATGTTTCCATTTGTTTGCGGTCAACAAAACCATCTGTGAATTCAAAAAGGGATTTCAGAAGTGGCTAGATTTGTAGAGAAGGGATAGAACAGCAATAGTATAAAAACCAGGCATGCCAATTTTCAAATAAACCGTGTTATAACAAACAAATCTTTTGAATCGGAAGTTACCTGACTAGTTATCTGGCGTGTGTAAGTGTATTTGTGTGTTTTTAATAAAGGAAGTTCATTTTTCTTTTACATGAATGCATGGTTTGAATATATTTTAATGCTGTTTGTTATTGTGAGGCCTATGCAAAAACAACAACACAAAAACATTATTATTATACAATAATTATATTATATAATATTAATAATTATATCATGTTATTTCTGTTTTTTTTCATCATGTCCTACACCTGCCCTACTAACAGACGGCCGATCCAGATCTGAGCCGGATCAAGCTCTCGGTGTAAACTAGTACTCCTGCTACAACCTGGTAAAGAGCATCTCTCATTTTGGCTCATGTTTATTGTACACTGTCCCATTCAAATCATACCATTCAAAGGCTCTGGAAGGTTTGAGTGTGTGTGTGTACAGACAGCCAGAGGCTTCAGAGGCTCCTGAGTTTAGCTGGGAAACCAAACCATTTACATGCATATTTATAAAGTGGCCTGTGTAAACGCACCCTAAGGCATTTCAAATAAAAAATAAATGCTGTTTGAATATTTCAACAAACTATTCACTGCACAAGACTTTGGACAAAGTAAAAAATACATTGTTGAAATACACTAAACATTTAATTCATTATTATTATTATACAATATATAATAATCCCATATCAACATTTCTTTGGACACTAGCAAACATGAGTATAATTTGTGGAGATGCTTGCTCAAGGATTAATGATAATAAAATATAATTTTAATGTTTATGTTTTGTAATTTTTTTCTGCTTTGTCCATATAACTTTTTGAGACATTTTTGAGATATTATTATAGACCATCTGATCACTTTGTTGAACACTTTGTGTTGCTGCTGGTATTCTCTCATGAGCACTGGTTGATTTGTCACCTCTTCTCAAAAGGAATGCATTGCGCTGGAATAATTGCCTTACTCCTTTTTGGCCACTTAGTTAAAAAGGATTCAGATGGTTTTTGCTGCGTGCTCCCCTCCTCCCATAGAGAAACATAGGGGGATGGGTGCAGTGTTTGACTTATGCTGAATTTAGGATGGGGGCAGTGCATTTACATAAAAGGGCAAACTTCATTTTTCAACCACGCAGCGTTATAAATGACACCTCAGGTTTTCAAAACAAGCTGAGAAACTAGTGAGCAAGTAATTGTTCGTTTGCAAAGCTGGAAAGAGAAAAGTTAACAGCGTCTTGAGTAACGGAAGAAATAATATTCTTGTTTTATTCTAATATTTAATGTTGTTCTAACTAATCAATGAAACTAGATCCTTTCAACGCATTTCTTATTTATATTAATTCATTCATTCATCAAGTTCTTCCCTTTGATCCATTTCTGGGTCATTTCTATTTATAGTCTATATTTATTCAAAGTAGTAAATTATTCTCGGTCACAGTCCAAAAATAGCTATTTTTTTATCCTGAATTCAACTTATGTTCACTGTGTCTATGTAATACAATGTAAAGGGAAGTCCAAAACTGCATTAACAAACGTGTCTCTGTTCTTTATGCAACAATGTGAAAGTTATTAAATGTAAAAAAAATCCCAGAAAAGATATTACCACTAAAATTTCCTGAATCTCTCAAAACTTTCCCCATTCAAATAGATTTTGTTGACTTCTTTTTAAAGGCAGTTTTACATGTTTACAGTTAAATAGATTGGTTATTGATTCCATGCAGGAGAAATCCAGGTTTCTGATTAGTTTTGGTCACCAACAATGCAAAGTCCAAATATATATCAAAAAACATTGACACACAATAAACTGTCTCTCTGTCTAGTGTCCTGTGTGATAAAAATCAGGATTACAGAGCCTGGTGTTGGTCACATGCTGCGTCACCTCTGAGCAACGCAGAAACCTGTGGCTTTTCTAACCTCTGCCACACACTGCAAAAAATATCTAGCCTTGTTTAAAAATGCTTAGATTGTATAGTGTAGGAGTGTAGGCAACTGGTATTAAGTTAAACATTCCTAAAATAATTACACTTTAAAAACATGGATGTAGTGTATTTCAGGCCTGCCTTTTACACCTATCACATTTTTACATCAGCTTTTTCAAACGGAAAAGTGAAACAGAAGAGGACCCCCCTCAATCAGCTTTCATGTTGGTCTAATTTGAAGAACATGTTTTTTTGCTGGGCCAAACAAAATGTAGTATAATGAAAAAAGGTAGGTACAGTAGTGGTAAGTATTTTAATTTGCAGTAAATTGCTTATGTGACTTACATTAATTACAAGTTGAATAAACTTAGGCCAAATTAACAAAGCAAAGTCTTCAATGAGGTATGTTCTGGTATTGTATTGGTCAAAAATATTCCAAGCCCATTATGGAAATAAAACTACAGTCCAAACTCATTAGCTCATTAGAAAACATGTTATCGTTTGCATTCTTGTAAGAAATATGAATTGAGTCAAAAACTATTTTTGACTATTTGGTCGTTTTTCCTCTTGCATTTTTCTGTCTGAGAAAGACGCGAGACAGGCCCAAAATACATGCATATGAAAATAAATATATTTAGAGGGTTATTATTGCATAGTTACAGTTTTTGAAAGCTAGGCACCCAGGATTTGATAGTGATATTGAGTGAAAAGATTCAAACGAAACGTGTATATGGTAGTGGTGAATATTTGAAGACATGACTCGTTTGGTGAAATGGACGGGAAGAACCGGTTTTAATGGTGGAGTTTTGAAATGAGTTCGACAGCGGTGACGGATCAGATTTTCACACTCTTTTGTTGGTCTGTGTGCTCATGGAGACACACAAAGGCATCATATTTGGGACCAAACTGGAACTAGAAAATTAAACATGGCTTGTGACTGATACTGAAGTTATGTCTCATTACTGCATGTGAATAACTTTGCTTCAATTTCAGCCACTGTTTCAGACGTCTAGTAAAGATAGTGGGTCTGCATAATATAGGTATGAATTACACATAATTAGTCCCATAGTATGCCAGAGTATGTGTCAATAGCATTTATTTTAAGTTATGTTAAGACATTTTAGAGCTCTCAAAGAAAGCTTGTGGTTGTATGCACTTATGGCAGTTTTTATCTGAATTAATTATGATTGGTGTCCATTAAGCTTTCTT